GGGAACCACCGGGGATCCACTGGGAAACACCGGGAATCCACTGGGAACCACCGGGGATCCACTGGGAAACACCGGGAATTCACTGGGAACCACCGGGGATCCACTGGGAACCACCGGGAATCCACTGGGAGTCACCGGGAATCCATTGAGAATCGTTGGGGGATTCATTGGGAATCGTTGGGGGATCCATTGGGAATCACACGGGAATCCATTGGGAATCGTTGGGGGATCCATTGGGAATCGTTGGGGAATCCATTGGGAATTGTTGGGCAATCCATTGGGAATCGTTGGGGGATCCATTGGGAATCACACGGGAATCCATTGGGAATCGTTGGGGGATTCATTGGGAATAATGCGGGGATCCATTGGGAATCGTTGGGGAATTCATTGGGAATCATTGGGGGATCCATTGGGAATCGTTGGGGGATTCATTGGGAATAGTTGGGGGATCCATTGGGAATCGTTGGGGAATTCATTGGGAATCATTGGGGGATCCATTGGGAATCGTTGGGGGATCCATTGGGAATCGTTGGGGGATTCATTGGGAATCGTTGGGGGATTCATTGGGAATCATTGGGGGATTCATTGGGAATCGTTGGGGGATCCATTGGGAATCGTTGGGGAATTAGTGGGGAATTAATTGGGAATCGTTGGGGAATGCACTGGGAATCGTTGGGGAATCAATTGGGAATCACCAGGAATCCATTGGGAATCGTTGGGGAATTCATTGGGAATCACCGGGAATCCACTGGGAATCGTTGGGGAATCCATTGGGAATCAATTGGGAATCACCGGGAATCCGTTGGGAATCGTTGGGGGATCCATTGGGAATCATTGGGGAATTAGTGGGGAATTAATTGGGAATTGTTGGGGAATCAATTGGGAATCGTTGGGGGATTCATTGGGAATCCATTGGGAATCATGCGGGGATTCACTGGGAATCGTTGGGAAATTGTTGGGGAATTTGGGAATTATTTGTATATTTCAGAATTATTTGGGAATTGTTTGGGAATTTTTTGAGAATTTGGGAATTACTTGGGAACTGTTTGGGAATTATTTGGGAATTGTTTGGGAATATTTTAGGGAATTTGGGAGTTGTTTGGGAATTGTTTGGGAATTGTTTCAGGATTATTTTGGAAATTGTTGGGGAATTGTTTGGGAATTATTTTGGAATTATTTTGGGAATTATTTGGGAATTATTTCAGAATTATCTGGGAATTATTTCAGAATTGTTTGGGAATTATTTGGGAATTGTTTGGGAATTATTTGGGAATTGTTTGGGAATTGTTTGGGAATTATTTGGGAATTGTTTTCAGAAATTCGGAATTTGGGAATCTGGGAATTTTAGGGAATTTTGGGAATTATTTGAGAATTTTGGGGATTTTGGGAATATTTGGGGGATTTTTGGGAATAGTTTTGGGGATATTTTGGGGAATATTTTCAGAATTTGGGAATATTTGGGGGAATACTTTGGGAATTTTGGGGATCATTTTGGGAGTATTTTTGGCAATTGTGGGGATTTTGGGAATATTTTTGGGGAATATTTTGGAATTTTGGGATATTTTGGAGAATTTGGGGAATATTTTGGGAATATTTTGGGAATTTTGGGGAGTTTTGGGGAAGATTTTGGGAATTTGGGGATTTTTTGGGAATATTTGGGGAATATTTTGGGGAATATTGGGAATTTTTGGGGATTTTGGGGAATATTTGGGGAATATTTTGGGGTAGATTTTGGGGTAGATTTGGGGATTTTTGGGGTAGATTTTTGGGAATATTTTTGGGGATATTTTGGGGATTTTTGGGGATATTTAGGGGATATTTTGGGGATATTTTGTAGATTTTTGGGGATATTTTTGGGGATATTTTGGGGATATTTTGGGAATTTTGGGTCTATTTTGGTGTAGGTTTGGGGATTTTTGGGGCTATTTTGGGGCTATTTTGGGGTAGATTTGTGGATTTTTGGGGATATATTGGGGTAGATTTGGGGATTTTTGGGGATATATTGGGGTAGATTTGGGGATTTTTGGGGCTGTTTTGGGAATATTTTGGGGCTGTTTTGGGGCAATTTTGTGTATTTTTGGGGATTTTTGGGGCTATTTTTGGGCTATTTTGGGTATTTTGGGGGATTTTTGGGAATATTTTGGGGCAATTTTGTGTATTTTGGGGTATTTTTGTGGCTATTTTGGGGCAATTTTGTGGATTTTTGGGGATTTTTGGGAATATTTTGGGGCAATTTTGGGTATTTTTGGGAATATTTTGGGGCAATTTTGGGGCAATTTTGGGAATATTTTGGGGCTATTTTGGGGCTATTTTGTGGATTTTTGGGAATATTTTGGGGCAATTTTGGGTATTTTTGGGGATTTTTGGGAATATTTTGGGGCTATTTTGTGTATTTTTGTGTATTTTTGGGAATATTTTGGGGCTATTTTGGGTATTTTTGTGTATTTTTGGGAATATTTTGGGGCTATTTTGGGTATTTTTGGGGATTTTTGGGAATATTTTGGGGCAATTTTGGGTATTTTTGGGGCTATTTTGGGGCTATTTTGGGGCTATTCTGGGGCAATTTTGGGGATTTTTGGGGATTTTTGGGAATATTTTGGGGCAATTTTGGGTATTTTTGGGAATATTTTGTGGCTATTTTGGGGCAATTTTGTGGATTTTTGGGGATTTTTGGGAATATTTTGGGGCAATTTTGG